TCCCCCTCCCCACCCCCCGCCCCCTGCCCAACCCCCGCGCAAGCCATTGATTAAGACTTCTCCCCCCACCCTAAATCCCAGTGTCCGGCATCCCAGTCCCCTTGGGTCTCTGCAGCAGAAGCGGGAAATCCTTCACAGGGAGGGGTGTCTGCAGGCGGGGATTCCCCCCAGGGCCACTTTCCGGGGACCACGCGTGCCCAAGTGCCTTCTCCCCTTCCTCAGTTGGACCCCTGTCCCTCTTGCCCCCAAGAGGGCACCAACCCTCCCCCGAGGCAGGGCAGTCCGGTGATGGGAAGAGGGTTTGGATCACCTTCTTAGAGGGGGCCAGGCCTCTTGTGTCTGAGGGAGATGGGCACCTTGGGAATCCCAGGTGTACAGGGGGTCGTTAGGGGCTGCGGGCTTGACCAACCTCACATCTCCGTAGTCTCTGGGAAGGAGATGGATGGGGAGGGCCAGGGTCCCTGCAGCCCCTGCTCTGGGACGACTCCCTGCTCTGAGCCCAGCTGTGACATGGCACTCCTTGTGCCTACGAGGCTCTGAGCTAAACAGAGGGATCCGCCCCAGGGCCCCCCTTCCCGTGGCCATCCACTCCCCAGGCCCCGGGGGCTAGCACTACCCCTACAGGAACCTTCCTTCTACTTCTGCCTATCCTGGGCCTGCCAGGCTGCCACTGGGACCAGGGCGGTCCTTCACCTGCAGAGGGCCTAATACAAATTGGCTTTCCTATGGAGGGGGTCAAGGCCTCGCAAATGGAGGGCACTGACGTCCCAAAACATGGCTTCTCTGAGGACACAAAGCAAGTCAGAAATAAGTAGGCACCGTAAGCAAAGCCCCTGCTCTTGCCCATTGTTGGCAGTGCCAAATTCTGACTTCAAGGCCCTTGGGGTCCCTCATGGTCAGAGAGCAGTGTCTACACAGAGCCTGCAGCCCAGGCCCCAGTTTCTGGCCATCATCCCGGCTGCACACCAGATAGGAGCACAAGGTGAATGTCGTCAGCTCTTGCAGAGGGAATGGAACACTACTGTCCCAGGTAGTACAAGTTCAAGGTCATTAAGTTGTCTTCCTGGTTCCATCAGACTCAACCCCAGGTCAGCCCAGGGCAGAGGGCCTGGCTGGAGCTGCACAAAGGCCTGCATTGCGAGGTAAGAGACCTTGTGCAAAGCACTTCTCTCCCTGTGAACTGAGCAGGGAGCGGACAACAGATGTGCTTGGTGGACCCTGGCCTTGCAGAGGGGACAGTCTCAAGCCCCCATCAAAGACAAGAGTTTTCCCTCCTAGTACTCCTAGAGCAGGCTCCGCCCATGTATACACCCCCTGGCCCAGAAGCAAAGGGGGGAGGTGGCACCTGGCATCCCCTGGGTCCCTGAAGGTTCCTGCAGTGGAGTAAACAGATGCCCCTGTGGCTCTGGGGGTCATGGGCCCCTCGGGTGGTACAGCTGAGCTCCACACGCGTTGTCAACCGCAGCAGAAGAGTGGGGGAGCAGCCGGGACCCTGAGCCACAGCCTGGCACCAAAGGAGGCAGAGACAGGTCAAAAGCAGACACAGGGGAAGTCAGAAGCACAGAGAGGAAGGAGGTAGAGGGGTGCAGAGAGAAAAGAGGAAGCAGAAGGAGAGACTAGAGGGGGAAGGGGAGGGATGTCAGGATGAGGCTGGAAGGATGCCAGGCCCTGGAGTCAGGTCACGGGGGCTCTCTTGGGGCCAGCAGAGTCTTCACCAATGAAGGGTCCAAAAAAGAAAAAAATGGGTCTGGAAGTGCAGGCCAATCCCCTGTTGAGGAAAAGGCCCCAGAGAGGAGCATGATTGTTTGAGCAGTGGAGTGCCGGAATGGGGAGCACATCTGTCTGGAGAAGAGGTGACAGCTCCAGGCCCAGGCCCTGCAGTCTTCACCCTCAGAAGCCCCTGCTCTAGTAGGGTTTAGTGAAGGTGAGCGCCCCAGGGGGGAAACAGCCCCATCCCAGGAAAGCCAGGGGTTAAGAATGAGCCCCTTCAGCACACACACACACACCCCTGCACAGCTCCACAAATGCTGACCTGTAACCTGTTAACTAGTGACCGGTGCCTCAGTGCAGGGGATGGACAGAAACGACGGTCCGTGCAGGCCCGCTGAGGCCCTGGCTGGATGTAAGACCACGATGCGGCATGAGTGTGTGATGGACAGGTGGGAGAAAACCATCTTCACAGGAACTCAGAGAAGAGGACACAGACTTCCGGGCCCCATCCCACCCACTGGGCCCCACAGACTAGAGGTAGTGGGCCCCAATCTCCTACGAAAGGTGCCTCAGGAGCTCACCAGCCAATCTTATGGCAGAAGTGATACTAGAATGGCAGCATGAACTCCCGGTGCAGCCCTCGATCCAAGTCAGCTCCCCAGAAGCTCATCCCATGGAAGGAGCTTAAGAAGTTCTGACCAGGCTCTGGGGCACCCTCCCACAGCCCCAGAGATTAAATGACTTTGGGGGTGTAATGTGTATTTAGCCTAATTTAACATGTGAACAAGAATTAGATGTGTCTGCATGCAGAACTAGTGGGAATTTCGCAAGTGGGGACTTTAGAAGGGTAGAGTGACACTAAGGAAGAATGACCACCTCAGAGGCAGGAGCTCCTGCAGGTGTCAGAGCAGAGGTGGGGGCCTCCCATTGGTAGGGGGTGCACAGATGATCCATGCACGGGGCTGGAGCAGCGGCCCCTCATGGCTCAGAGTCTTTCATTACACTGTGCCCTCTTATCAGCCCGACCGCTGGGACCCCCTGTGCACATCTGGTAGAGAGTATCTCTAGGGAAGAGGAGGGGACCCAGGCTGGGTGCTGGCCCCAGAGGCCAGACCTTGTGCAAAAGGCAGGGACCCTGGCCAAAGTGGAACAGGGCAAGGAATCCAGGGGGCTCTAGCATCCTCTAGGGAGGGAGCTCCATGTCCCACTCAGGGGCTGCAGAGGTGGGGCGGGAGGCACAGTCCGGTTCCTCTGTGTCCTCCCCCTGGAAGGAGGCAGCAGCAGCACTTTTGGGGGCCTCCATTTAGCAATGCCCTATCTCACAAGGCTGATCCTGAGTGCCTCCTCCCAGCCATCCCTCCAAGTGGGCACTGGTGGCCCCAGCTCCCTCTACAGGCCCGGTCTGAGTCTGCTTCATTCCACTGAGTGCCTTCAGACTGCACAGCCACCTTCCTGCTCTGGCTTCCTCCCTGCACGACCAGGCCACACCACCAGGGACAAGCCTCCTTGGACTTCTCTCAGTTTCCCAGCAGCTTATCCAGCCTAAAACTGGGGCCATGGTGTTGCTGCCTGTCTGAGAGGTCCTGCAGGCCCTAGGAAGTAAGTGGGGTGGGGTCAGAATGGAGCTCTATAAAAAAGCAAGCCTCTCGGCCCAGCTTTAAACTTAGGTCCCACCCTGGTGCTGCTTTCCTTGGAGAAGACTGAGTATCTACATGGTGTGTTAAGTCTGTATAAAATCTTTACTCCCATTATCCTATTTGAGCCTCAAAACCACTACAGAAAGCAGGCAGGGTGAGGATTCTTATCCCCATTTTACAGAGAAGGAAATAACTTACCTAGCAGTGAAAGATACCAGGGGAAGACCCCAGGTCTTTGGCCCCAAGCCCAGTGTCCTTTCCATGCCAGCCTAAGGCTGGGTGAGGGGGCAGAGATCACCTGTGTGTCTGTGGTACCTACCCCAGCCACATGCCTCTGTGGACACACATCAGGAGGTATCTGTAGACAGATGTGTCCACACCAAGTACTGGTCACAGCTTGCCACGAGCTATGAGACAGCGTCTCGGCACACCCATCTCTGCCAATGCGGGTGGAGGCACAGCCAAGGGTGAGAGCTGGGTGGGAGGGCAGTCTCATTGGCTCTCAATTTGAGGTTATTATTATTATTATTTTGAGAGAGAGATTTTTGCTATAGGGCATGTATGCTCTCTGGAGTGACAGAGAGACAGAAAGCAAGAAATCACCCTCCCCCCCAGGGGGGTTGGCCACGCCACAATCCCCTCTCCTCTGTTCTCCTCTCTGGATCTTGGGCATGCACGCACGCACGCACACACACATACACACACCGGCATGAGTTTTAAGACACCCAGTCTGGGACTTGGGACCACATGGGAGTCTAGCAACATAACCATTACGCCATCTGCTGATCCTGAGAAGGTTATTCTTAACACGATGGGTCTTCCAGGAACGCGTGGTAAAAACAGAAACACGCGCTCGTAGGAAGGATATAGATCCTGAGGGTGAACTGTCTCCAAAGCCCACCAGGTGCAGTTGTCCTACTAAGGACACTGTCTCCTACGTAATCCAAAGAGCTCTAAGTTTCCTCCCAAGGCCTACGACAGCCTGAGTAAGCACAAAGCACCTGCCTTCCCTGCACATCGAAGGCCCAGATTCTGCCTGCTGTGGCCCCACCAAGCACAGAGCCGTGTGTTAGGCTCACGGAGAACCCACTCGTGCCAGGCGAAGGAGGGCAGAGTCTTATGCTGGGTGTACAGACTGAGAACACGGCCACTCAGGGGATCCCGGGCTGGTGCCTTCCTCTTGTGACAGCTTCAGCTGTGGGGGGCACACTGGTCCATGTGGGTTTCCCAACTCCTGCAGAGTGGCCATCCACCGGCCACCCAGTAGGCTGTGATTGTGGTCAGAAGAAGAGTTGCAGGGAACCCTTCAACCTGACTCTGAGGCCCTGGCCGCCTGCATGCCTCCCTACCTCCAGCCCCTCCTCAGCAAACCTCTGTTCTAAAGTACAAAGGCCAGGTGGCCACAAGGGGGAAGAAAAGGACACCATATAAATATATTAACAGTGGGACCAGCAGATGACATAATGGTTACATTGTTGGACTCCCACGTGGCCATCCACAGTTTGAGTCCCATACGTGACGACTTCAAATTCACGCTGGGTGTGTGTGTGTGTGTGTGTGTGCATGCCCAAAATCCCAAGAGGAGAATGGAAGAGAGGGTATTGTGGTGTGGCCATGCCCCCTGGAGGGGTGATTTCTCACCTTGTCTGTCTCTCTGTGTGTCTCCAATGAGTGCATGTGCCCTATGGCAAAAAACCCTCTTAAAATTAATTAATTAATTAATTAACAAGGTAGTGGCTTCCTGAAAGTCCACAGCTTGTCCCATAAGTACCCAGAGACTGATGTTAGGGTGAGACTCCAGATAAGATCTACTGAAAAGAGCCCTACTTCTCCTCTTGCCCAGGACACTCCAAGTGACCCTAGGGGCTTGAAGGTCTTCGGGTCCTACACACTTATATGCATCAGGGGGCCAGTCTGAAGTGAACAGATGCACCCCAAGCCTGAACAGCTTAGGGTCTCTTGCTTCTGGGGTTCCCCTGCCCTCAAAGTTCCACAGGGGTGGGGCCTTGCTTATTCACTGTGTGGCCCCGGGCTCGGAATACCCTGGCACTTATCAGGTGTCCTATCAGTGTGAGCTGAATGAGTGAGCTTCTGTTTTCTTTTCTCCTTGACCACTACGGCTTCAATGGAGAGAGCTTACCTGGCCTCAGGACCTGGCAGCCTGGGCGCCCTGGGGCCTGGGTGAAGTGCAGCTGAGACCTGCCGTCACTACAGCAGGAGAGACGGTGGGGCCAGCAGCTGGACACCCCTCCTCCCCCAGCTCTGACAGAGGCGATGGGCAAAGCACTACACTTTAAGGCAACTGACCTGGGTTTGAGTCCAGGCTCCTCCTCCTGCCATCACTAGCTTTGTGGTATTGGATAAGTCAGTTTCTTAATCTATAAAACAGGGAGAGTCATGCCTGTCTGGTGATCTGGCATCTTCACAGGACACCTAGGGGGCTCACATGTGAACGCACACTGTGCTAGACAAGGGCAGATCCAGTGTACACATGTGCACCCACACAGGCAGAGGCAAAGCCGGCCCTTTAAGCAGAGCAGAAAAGGGTGGGTGGCTGCACTCGGGGCCAGGTCTTTCTCATCTCTGCACCTGCCTCTGCTCTGAGCTCAGGCGTGTACCCAGGGGCATCCCAAGTACTTCCCAAATGAATGAACCAATGAATGAGCCAACAACCCAGGAGCAGCTGTGCGTGTACAGGACAGAGGCTGCCCGGACTTCACCTGAGCACCTCAGGAGGACAGTGATCACAGACCGGTCAACTGGGGAGAGCACCCACACTCGGGCCTCCACCCCACACAGCACTGTCAAGCGCAGAGCATCGCCCTGTGCCATGCGCCCTCGCTGGGGGCAGAGCTCAGAGGCTCTACCTGGGCTGCACCTGCCTACCTCCACGCTCTGCTGAGGGCACCTCTTGCTGGAGCCACCACCAGCTTCTCCAGACAGAGGGGGATGTGGGTAAGAGACAGGGTCAGGAGAGGGACCAGGAGGCACAAGGCGGGGTGGTTACCGAGGTTGACAGTGAGCTTCATCTGCCCCCCATCCAGCTCGAGGCGTAGGGTGTCGGCAGACTCCCTGGAGGTGGTGGCCATCATGAGTCCGTAGGCCCTCTGGGACATGAAACGTAGAGACACATCCTCCGCCTCTGTGTGCATGGCATTGGGAAGCATGATCTTCATGTACATGGAGCCGTCATAGCTCAGGACCGTGGCCTCTACCCCAGGAGTCAGGGAGGACAGCGCAGGCCAGTGGAGGGAGAAAGAAAACCAGAGATTCATTACAAGGATGACAAGCTTAAGGCTGTCCATGAGGGACACTGAGGAACAAGGGGCAGAGGGATGGGAACTGGGAACCACCCTGACAAGGAGGGGCACAGGGATGGGGGCAGGCAGGCCTGGGATGAAGACTAGCCTCACCTCTCTCACAGACCCGCCCCAGAAAGCCGGTCCCGATGCAGTCACAGACGAAGCGGTTCCAGCCCTCTCGACAGATGCCCCCGTTGCGACATGGGGCAGAGGCGCACTGCTTCAGCGTCTCCCGGGAGCAGAAAGGGGCAACGCCCACAGCCCCCTGGGACTCAGCCAGGCCCCGAAGGTCTCGGCTCCTCCCGTCTATGAAGAGGTCCCGCACACAGCCCACATAGCCGGCCCGGAGCGCCGCCGTCCACACTTCCGGGGGCAGGGGCAGGTCCACCCGACCCCCCTCAGGGAGACCGCCCAGGTACAGCTCGCTCTCCAGGTCCAGAATTTCACTCTCCCCGGTGGCCAAGAACGGAGTGCTGCGGCTGTTCACGGAGATGGAGCCTGGGGGTGAAGGGAGAGCAGGCCTCAGTGGGGATGGCAGGGTAGAGAGGAGCCACGGGCCAGAAAGGAGGTCCTGACTGCCAAGGACATCCCAGTCCCAGCTGGGCTGGCACCCTGCTCCCTGCAGCCTCGGCTGGAAGCTCAGCCTTACACGCCTGGATGCAAAAACTGCTCGACAAGGTTCCAAGCTCAGGAGCCTGACCCAGCCCCCGCCCAGCTGTAGTGTGAGGTGGGCCTGTGTCCAGACTCCTCTCCACACCTGGGTGAACCCTTAGAGGATGTATGGGAGGGGAACAAGCCCAAAAGCTTGAGCCCCCAAAGGACTGAGCCATGCACTAGCTCATTCCTGCCAGCCAGGCCCTTAGACCAAGAATAGGAGACAGGATCTTAAGGAGGCAGAAAGGTTTGAAGCCAAAGGATTTTTTCCCACTAACATTTCCTGGCTTTTATGATGACACGCCAAGCTCCTAGCACTTTAAATACATTCTATCACTTCAGTCTCACAATAATGCTATGAAATTGGTCCTTTAAGATCCCATTTTGGAACCAGCAGACAAGGTTCACGGAGAACCTGCCCAAAGTGCCATAGCAGGGAAGGAGCAGAGCCAAGCACAATCCACGGCAAGACCTCAGAGCCACCTTCTCTGCCCCTGGAGCCCACACTGTGACGGGGGGGGGGGAAGGGGGGCAGGCAAGCTGGCCGGGCAGATCAGCTCCCAGGCCTGTGAGGCAGGATGGCAGCTAGGAGGATGGCGGCTGGGCACAGAGCTTTGGAGCTGGAAAAGTTCCTTGGCAGGAGAGGGTTATCATCTTAGAAAAAAGATGTGAAGGCCAGCAGGTGACGTGGAGGTTAAGGCTGCTGGATCCTACATGGCTGACTTCACAGTCTGAGTCCTGGACCTGGCGGCTGGAAAATCACACCAGGCATATGCGCGTGTGTGATTAATATCTATCCTGAGAGGAGACTGGAGGAGAAGGGATTGCAGCATGGCCATCCCCCCGGGGGAATGATTCTTCACCTTCCCTCGTTCTCTCTCTGTCTCTGGTGAGCACATGTGCCCTACAGCAAAAGTTAAAAAAAGAAGAAAAAGTGAAAAGATGTGAGATCAGGTGAGACCTTTACTGAGACCTTAGGCTGCAAACACCTATACTTTAGAGATTTTATTCTGTTTCGGTTTTGTTTTTTTTTTTTATTCCATATGTTTTCTTTCCTCCTTTTTCAAGTTTGAAAGAACTCTAAAACAAAACGCCTGCCTACCTTAGTGGAGTTAGCAAGAGGTAAGGGGCTTCGAGACTGCGCTGGGCCTGAATTTGGCAGGGATCTTTGGGAAGGGGTCTAGCAGTGCCCAGTGATCAGAGTGTGAGCACAGAGTAGGACATGAAGGGTGCAGAACAGGGCCTCTTCTACAGTCAGGGCCCTCTGCTCCAAACCTCACTGAAGCAGAAACACCATTTCTTTTGTCTTCTTTTTAATAACTATTTATTTGATTTTATGTATTTATTTATTTAATTTGCTATAGTGCACATGCACTCACCAGAGAGAGACAAAGGGAGAGGGAAAGTGAGAAAGCAAGTTGGCAGGTCTGGGACTTGAACGGCAGTCAGCCATGTGGGAGTTCAGCTCCTCAACCACCATGCCACTTGCTGGCCCACGCCATTCCTTTCTTTTTTTAAGATTTATTTTATTTATTACTACTATTTTTAAATTCTCTATACGGCACATGCACTCAGCAGAGAGAGAAAGAAAGTGAGAAAGCAAATCACCAGGTCTAGGACTCGAACCACAGTGGGCCATGTAGGAGTCCAGTGCCTGCAGCACGCCACCTGCTGGCCCCACGCCACTCCTTTCATCTTTTTTCCTTTTTTTAAGAGGTTTTTGCTCTAGGGCGTGTGTGCTCACCAGAAAGGCAGAGAGACAGAGAGACAGAAAGCGAGAAATCACCTCCCCCAAGGAAGATGGCCACGCCACAATGCACATGCACATGCACCTAGCATGAGTTTAAGCCACCAGGTCCGGGACTTGAACTGCAGTCGACTACATGGGAGTCCAGCGATAAAGCCATTATACCATCTGCTGGTCCCAACACACTATCCCTTTTAATAACATGGTTTCTAGCTTGCTCTTTTCTGACCAGGTGTCAGATACCCCAGGGTCCTGCTGCTAAACTCAGGGGTATTCCCAGGGCTAGGGGCCCTCTCCCAGACAGGCCCCCAAATACAGGCTGCCTGATCACCCACAGCTCTGTTTATAACCATATTCCCCTGACTCCCACCCTGCCCACCTGCTACAGAGCCTCTCAGGGCTCCATACTACCACCCAAGTGGACTCTCAACAAGCCAAGCTCAGTGTTGGAGAAGAGGGAGGGAAAGGCAGAGATGGGGAGAGGCATATATAATGGAGGGTCAGTGAAAGGAAATCAAAACGAGTGCAGGCCCCTGCTCCACAGTCAAGCTAAAACATGGAACAGGAACAACTAAGTGCCCAGCAGAGGAGCAGGTAAGCACAAAGCGTGTGTACAGACAAGTGGAACATTACTCAGCCTTAACAAGGAGGAAATTCTGACGCATGCTACAACATGGATGAACCTTGAAGGCACTATACCAAGTGAAATAGACACAAAAGAATAAACATGACTCAGCCACAGGAGGCGCCATCACTTGGGAGGCCAGAGGCCACATGGGAAGCCCCGGTTTGGTTTCTGGGCCAACCTGAACACTAGGTATGATTGCACATGCCTGTAAACCTAATTGGGAGGCCAGTGCAGGAGGAATGTGACCCTATAAGACTATCAGAAATACCGATCTCTGTCTCTGCCCTTTTCTCCTCATTGATTTCTCTCTCCCTCCCCTCGTTAAAAAAAAAAAAAAAAAAAAAAAAAACTATATCATTCTTTTTTCCCCCCCCCCCCCCCTTAAAAAAAAAAAAAAAAAAAGAATACTATATGATTCCACTTACATGATGTACCTAAGTAAATTTCATAAATACAGAAAGTAGAATGCTGGTTACCAAGGGTTAAGGGATGGGAGGGTGAAGGGTTAGTGTTTAATGGGTAGAGTATCCGTCTGGGAAGAGGAAAAGGTTCTGGAAATGGCTGGTGGTGACAGTTACACAATATGGATGTTCCAAATGCCACTAAACTGTGCACTTAAAAAAGGCTCAGATGATAACGTTTGTGATATGCATAATTTACCACAATTTCAAAAAAGAGAAAATAACAAGGAAAAGGTCTGAGTGAGTTGGTTAGAATGGTGGCTGAGTCTGTGTGTGTGCACATGTGAACATGGGCTGTCAGAAATCTCCAGAGCTGCTCAAGACAGGGATCTAAGGACCAGCCAGACCCTGCATCTGGGCCCCAGAGACCCGTGTGAGACTAACAGAACCACTTCCAGTACAGAGGAGCAGAGGCCCTGGGTGCTCTGCAAGGCCTGGGCAGACTTCCGGCCTGGAGAGTTACAGATCACCTGGGTGGAAACCCTGGAAGGCAGGATGCTCTGTGCTGACCCACTGTGCTGCCCCGAGATACGACCGGGGGGGAACCATGTGAGGAAAGGCAACATTTCTCTGAGAAGGGGCGAGAGGGAAACAAACCATGAATCGCCAGCACTTCTGAGAGCCAAGGCAGCTCCCTGTTTCTTGTGTGCAGAGGAAAGGTCACTCCACCCAGAACTGCAAGCCTAGTGTGGTGACAGCCGGGGAGACACGAAAATTTGGCTGACGTGGTTAAGCGCTTAAATTGGATAATGTGTCAGTTCTCATTTATATCAATTTCCTCTTTGTTGGCTAATTCTCTTCTGTTCAACAAGATGGAGGAAAGCAGGGAGGAGAAAATGAGCAGACAGAAAGCAAGAGAACTGCAAAGGAAGGGTGGAGAACAGAATGGCCAAAGAGACAGAAGTTTCAAGAACTAGCCCCTGTCCAATCCCAGCATCCTCAACTCTGCCACTATGTTGTTCTAGAGCCCTCTGTGCCTGATGGGACTGTCAGCTGTTTACAGTCCGTTTCCCCTACCAGAATACGGACTCCTTGACAGCAAAGACGGTCTGTTTAGTTCACTGCTGCCCGTATCTCCAGCGCTAGCACCTTGGACAGCACCTGGCCCAGAGTAGCTGCTCAGGAAACACTTAAGTGAGGTTTTTGTTTTGTTTTGTTTTGTTTTGAAGTGTAAGAGGAAGACATTTTCTTAAAGAGAAATGGGATGTCTGGGACCAACAGTTGGTGTAATGGCTATGTCACTGGACTCCCATGTAGTCGACCACAGTTTGAGTCCCGGACCCAGTGGCTTAAACTCATGCCGGGCGCATGTGCGTGTGTGCCCAAGATCCCAAGAAGAGAATGGAGGAGAAGGGATTGCTGCGTGGCCAACCCCCCTTGGGGGTGATTTCTCACTTTCTGTCTCTCTGTCTCTTTCTGGCAAGCGCACACACTCTATACAAAAACCTCTCCCAAAAAAAAGAAAGAAAGAAGAATGGGATGTCTATTCTGCATTAGCTACTGTGTTACTGTTTTTATGGATGTGTTCTCATTGTGTCCTCTTGATGATCCTTGGGTTATCATTCCTTTCATAGATGAGGAAACTGAATCCCCAAGGCAGCAAGTGGCAGTGCTTTGGTGTGAATCCAGGTCTGAGTAACACCAAAACACTGTGCTCTTCCTGCCAATGCACCAAGTCTGGAGGGATGGTAGGAGGACTATGGGAGGGTGGAGACATGGCAGGAAGGGGGTACAAGAAATGATGTAGAACAGAACACCAGCTGAAGAGAGCTGGAGAGGACATCAGGACAGCTGGACAAGAGTGGCCAGGGGGAGGGGAAGGGGTCCTGAGGCCTCCTGACCTTTGCGCCCGTCCCTCTGAAAGTCCACGTGGCACCACTCGCCGTCATTGACCTTGCGGCTTGAGGCCCTCAGCTTGATACCCCCAGAGCCCATGTCCAGAAGAAGATAGAGGTAGCCATCCAATAGCTCCATGGCAAAGTAGTCGGCCCGCTGGGAGGAGCCATGGCTGCTGGCCCCGCCCCCGGCCCGACGGCCCTGGCTGAAGAGCAGCAGCCCGTTGGGCTCTGTGGTGCGGAAGTCCAATGAGATGGAGCCAGTGCGCTTGGCGCTCCAACGAGGTAGTGCCACAAAGGCCTCCGGGCTCTCAAAGGTCACAGGGTCCAGGGCAGCCACATCTTCACAGCGAAATGACAAATCCCCCTGCAGCTTCATCTTGGGATCCCCTTCCTTTGCCAGGCGGGATAGTTCCAGCTTGAAGTCATTATTCTTATAGACCACCTGCAAGGAGGGTGGGGTCAGGGAGAAAGAAGCAAGGGCACCTTGGGGCCTGCCCACTCCCTCCAGCCAGCAGCCAGCACCACCACAGGACCCTGCCATCCTGCCATCTGTCCTGCTGGCCCCCGCTGGGTGCCACCAGATCACTTGGCTTGGGCCTCCGTTCTAGCGCTTCCTGCCCTGAGGCTGTCAATGAGCTCTTCCTTTGCCCTGTTTGGCTCCTCCGTCCAGCTCATGGCCCAGCACCAGCATGGCTGCCCATCCCGCGGGCTCTCAGTGCCTGCAAAACTGCAGTGTATTAATGGTGCGGACGGCGATCGCTGCACACAGCTGACTGCCATGTTCTGATACAGAATTTTCATTTACCTTCTCATCGGCTCCTCGCGACAGTAGAAGGAGGTGCCTTTGCAACACGCAGTGCTCTACCCACACTCATCCACCTGCAGATGAGGAACCTAAGCGGACAGGTGCAGTGACTTGGTCAAAGTCACAGAGCTAGCGGCAGCGAGTGGGAGAGCTGGGACTCAGGCACCGGTCATAGCTTTCACATCCAACATCCTTTCCTCCGCACCACAGCTGCTTGAAGGGTCCTCTGAGAAGATGGGGGGCTCCCAAAGTTCTAGGAAGTGGGAGGGGGAAAGCCTCTTGACTGATTCAATGGGCCTAATGTTTGAGAAGGGGGTATCTCCTATCACAGATCTGTAAGAAACAGAGGACCTGACTAGCCAGGTCAGACCAACCACACTGAATCCCAGGGCCAGGGGGTTCCTGGGCTGACAGCAGCCCCGTGTTAGCCCTACTCACGTCCTTGAGGCAGCCCATGAAGTTGTTGCTGACTGGCGAGCCTGGCAGGTCAGCCGTGTTGGGGCTGCCCCCAATGTAGAAGAAGTCGTCAGAGCCCAGCATGGTGTAATCCTCCTGCGTGTAGCCTGTGGTGGTCAGGATCCCGTCCACCGAGATGGTCACCTGCCCAGCCCAGGGAAGGAGGGGGAGAGACAGGAGACAACCGGCATCAACTCCCTGGGAAGAGCCAAGGGCTGGGCAAGGGAGGGACCAGGGGGCAGTGGGGGAGGGGGACCCCCCCATTTTTATGTCTGCTTGTCTCGAAGGAGGAACAGTGGAGGAAGAGAAGGAAGGAGGAGATGGAGGCAGCACAAGATTTGATGGCTTCCTGGTGGAGTCAGGCCTGCCCCACA